TCGATGACCTGTCAGGTGGCTCAGGGTAGTGTTCATTACAAACTGCCCAGCCTCTCCATGTCACCATCCCACTGCTCAGATCATGCTCACTGGCAAAACTTTTTATTTCCACACAACATTTTTTCAATGCTGCAAGAGCTCTTGCCCTTTTTTAGAGCTATTCCTCTGACCTTAGCTCCTCTTAGACCAGCACATGCCAGGCCCCATGTGCAATCTCAAAACAAGCAATTAGGAAACCTGAGTTCATAAGCACGAATGATCACAGTGCGGCTACAAGGAAGGCCCACAGGGTGTCAGCAGCCTTTTGTGTCTTGTCCTGGCAAGAGCAGTGCAGTACACCTGCAGCTTCCTGGTGGATGGGAGACAGCCTTCTTCAAGCAAGAACCTCAAACTGTCCCATTCATGGAGGCATCATGGAGGGATAAACAAAATCAAGGAGCTGTCAAGGAGATAGAAAAATGTGGAAAGACAAGGAAGGGAGGGCAGGACAAGCACCGCTTTGTCCAACTAGGATAGGGAAGAAAAGGAGCACGTCTGCTACTTGTTCTGTCAACACACACAGTAAACAGAAGCTTTGATTTTCTGGTCAGAACTATTAAAAGAGCCATAGCCAGTAACTCATTTTTGGATTATTTTTCCCCATGTTATACACAGGCTGAAATATAGCAGTAGAAGCTTAATACGGTTTAAAGGGTTACAGTTAACTTGCTGCTACCCTCACTGCTAGGTCGATGTTTGGGATGCAATAGTGGTGGAAACTAAAATTACAGATAGGACAAAGCATACAGGTTGCAACACTGATACAGGATGAATGGGAGGAAAGTCAGTGACTCTGCAGTCTGCAACATCAGAAATTCTCTGCCCTGCAAAGCCCACGCGTTGCACAACACCAGGTAAATGAACTGCAGCAGGCTAATGACACAACTCAGCATCTCAGAAACAAATGGCATTCTTTTCCTCCAACAACTGACAGAAAAGCAAAGTAGCTCCACTGTTAGCTGCACTAGGAAACACAAGAAGGGATTTTAACAAGTCCTCCGTACCACCCTGTTCCTGCTGACAGCCATGGACATTCAAGCATCTTAATGAAGCATCTTTACAAAGCCAATGCTAGGCTCTCGTCAAAAATCCCCCAAATAAGGCTTCTCATACTTGTTCTCCTAATACTTTTAGCAGAGTGTAGAAAGCATGAAGAATTCATTGAGTTTTGCTGCCCAAATGCAATGTGTTTGATTAGCTATTGATGCTGAAGCTTTCCAAAATTAAGGGGCTGGAACTTGAGTACAGCGTAAAAGCCATATCAGGCCAAGCATGTTGCATGCTGAGGACAATCAAATCCTGAACTGCAAGTACATGTAGGGCAAACGCAAAATACTGAAGCAAGAGAATTGAAAGGCCTAATATCAGATCTCAGGCTTCATGAAATCCATTTTAAGCACAGTAAGACACAGATCACATGGAGATGCTTTCACTGAAAAATCAGTCTTTTATGAAAAACCTCTCTCCCCACACCTAAAACTTACAATCACCGTTGTCACTTTCTATTTCCCACAAAGCCTTCTGCGTCACTTTTACTCATTCTTGCTGGTGTCTGAAATACACAGCACTTTGCTCGTATCTGGGTCATCCACACTGAGAAGGGGAATCCTATTATCATTACTCCTTGTAGTGGAAATGAATGAATTTGTACAACCAGCTCAAGTTAGTATTCAAGCTCAGATATTACCATGACGAGCCACTGCCAGCCACGTGCAAAAGGACTAAATGCCTTTAATCCAGCCAGTGCAGAGACACAGCAATGAGTCTCCTGGTGGGAGGGATCATTCCTAGGATATGTGGGAGACCACAGTGCTGCCTCTTCATCACCTCTGCTGCCTTTTAATACAGATGGAGCAGTTAGAAAATGAATGACTTATTGTTTTACCCAGAGGGATACAGTATATGAACCATCAGTTTCTGTTTTGCAGACTGAGAAACAAGCAAACAACCCTAATGGGGAAGACAGCAAAACCCACAGAAGTCAACAAAAGCCCTTCCCTTCCTCTGCTTTGGCTTTGGGTTAGGATGAAGCTTTGGGTAAAGCACAAAGCAAACAAAAATCAATTCTGTCTCAAAAGCCAGCAATCACTCTCTTTAGCTCTATAACCTGTGCTACCACTCAGTCACAAACGAGTCCCTCTAAGCAGAACACCTCTGTCTTGCACTGCACTTGTAGTCAGTGCAGAACTAATTAAAAATACAATAAAAATAATAAATGCAGAATAGACAAGTTACAGAACTGCTGCATGACCTGAAACCTCTGTAAGGACCAACTCTGGTTGAATGCCTCAGCCTGACTTAATACTGTGACTCAGGACACACTTCATTATCAATCTTCTGTTATACCTCAGTGCGTTTACAAGTGTGTTAATTAAACCACATCAACTGCTGGGTGGAAAAGGGGAAAACTGTAAGCAGTGTTATGGTCTTGCAGACTATGGCTTCCATCTTTTAAATGCAAATGCATTTAAAATCATCAGTTCTCACTTAAATCATCAAGTCCTCAGTGTGTAAATCCCTTTTTAACAAAGCTAAAGGTGTTTGGGAATTTGCACATATACAAAATTGTTCTGAATTATGTTTACTTCAGTAATGCTTAATACTTTCAGTTTTGGAGTGGCGACAACTCAGTTTATCTCTGTAAATTACATCAACTTAAACACACTAATTCTTACCATGGAATGAAATTATTTATTGCAATAAAATTAAAAGCAAGTTCTCAGACTGCAGTCACTGTTTTTAGTTGGCAGTAAGACTAACTCTTTTGCTGGCATTATGGAGGAGGCCTACTTCAACAGGCTGCAGAAGTCTTAGGGAAAGTAACTGGAGAGTGAAAGCACAATCTCTTGAGTCCTTCAGTTTTAATCCCAATTCCTTTTTCAACTCTGCCTTTGGAATGATGGCATGCAAATAACTGCAGTTTGTGGAATCTACTTCCAAATTCCATCTTCCATCTATGCAGACAAACCTTCCTATGGATTGCTCTGCCCCACTGCCATTGTTGGGATGGGGGGAGGGTTACAAAGAAACCATCATCAGGAGATGCACCATGGCAAGATGCTGTTGGATGTATGGATGCATTATAAAGCAATGTGGCCCAAGACTACACTGGGAGAACAAGCTCAGTTCAGGACTGTATTTTGGCTCCTGGCCCCAGCCTGCTCCCAAAGGAGCTTTTTCTGGCAAGGTAAGATTTAGTTCAGAACTGCATTCCCATTGCATGAACAGATACTGAGTGCTGGATACACACATCTCCTCCATATATAGACAAACGTTTGATAAACAGACAGAAAAACAAAAAGAGACCATTTCTTGGAAAACTGTCCATAGTTTTCTTCACTTAGAAGTGCTGCAGTTAATTCATTCAAGGCTTGATCCTTCACACACAGCAGTGTATATTGCCTCACCAGAGCTCTACTCACAAACAAAGCTATGCATGTATGTGTCCATTTGCAGCACTAGCCCGAGACTCACACTTCTTTTAAGGTGTTTAGAAATCTAACACATTTTAAAGCATTTTAAGCTTAAGGATTTATGGCTCCAGAACTACAGAAAATAGATGGTATTGCTGCAAGATAAGAAACCGATTTGTTTTAAGACATCTTCATGCATTCATGTCCCAAGAATATTTTGGTGTTTCAAAGGGCTGTGAAACACATTTGCTCTTCTACTCCATCTGGCAAAGGTTTCCTACTTTTTTCCAAATTATTCTGGGCCTCGTTTATACAGTGAAGTGTTTTATCGCAGCAAAAAATCCAAGACTTTGCTTTTATACCCTTTATCCTGCTGCAATGCCCAGCACTCCTGACAGCAACTACTGAGTGTCCTTCAGGTGCAGGCAGTAAATGCAAATTTAGCAAAGAGCACTTATCAAATATAAACACAGGGTCTGCGCTCCCAGGATTATCTGATTTTCCCTTGCTTCAGAAAAATCTGTGAGGATGAAATCCTAAATTTATCTTTCAGCCACATGACAGCAAGGGGTGTATGGTACTGCCAGCACACAGGTGACATTTAGTGGGACATCAGGATGTGCAATGTCAGAACCATTACTAAATGAGGCTGTTTGTCTGACTGTATCTTGCACTTTTAAGGACGGGTAGCTCAGAGCCAAAATGGCACCCATCTAGTGCTGCTCTATCCTCTGAGCAACGTTTTTTCACCACCTGTCTGGTCTGAATTTCCCAAGCCACAGCTTGGGTCTGCTCCCTCCATTCTGTCACCCAGAGAAGGGCTCTGCTCCACCATCTGCATTAACCTGCAGGTGCTCACAGATGGCAACAAGATCCCTCCATGAGCTCTTTTCTGGGCTTAACAAGCAATATAATTTTTTTCCTTCCTTGTACTTATCCCTCCCTGCCTGCCTTTGCCTCTAGCACCTTTCTTAAATTAATTATCAAGGAATTTTATGCTGCAGAGGAGCAACATTTGGAGCCTCCACTGCTTTTTCTTCTGCAGCCCAGGAATGCGAACACATGGCCCAAGCAAGGCCTGTGACACATGCTCTTCTGGGACAAGTTTTATAAATGCAGTTTTACCTCATAGCCCTAGTATTAAACATTTGGATTTCCAATTCTCTGGGCTTGCAGCTCTGCCCCTCCGCCCCAGCTATGCCTGTTTCCCAGATGCTTGTGGTGATGCAAACAAATATCTTCTGTCTCTTGGTGCTTGGTGGCCAAGCCTAACACGTCCTCCTTCTGATCTCCTTTATATTTCTAGCAACGTGGGCAGATTAAGGACACAGAAGTGGTTACATCACAGTTGTCAGATAACCCTTTACTGAGATGCAGTTCCATACAGAAATTAGAAAAAGAAGTGCCCAACAACACCTCACACAGCAAGTACCTTCTCAGTGCAAACACAGGCATTTTAGGGATAAGCTCATGCACAGCTTCAACTATGCAATTAAAGATAGGTCAGGAAATTCAAAGGCAACAAGAAAGAAAGACCTTACACAATACCTTCATAGGTGCAAGCTGAATGGGAGTGATGCATGATGGGTCCACCATAGGCTTTGGCCTGTTGGCCGTGTCTGCCAGCAAGCTGTGCCATTGCTGAGGTAGTCCTGTGAACTTCTGCTCCCGGTGGTCAAAGCCAGTATGGACACGATGTTCGAAGTTAGAGGGCCCAGAAATTTCAAGCCTTTTCTTTTTCTTTCCGAACATGGTGGAAAAACCTGGAGAAGTAACAGGGGAAAAAAACACCTTAATGCTTTGCTGCAGCCATTAGCTGTTCTCTCTGCCGTATGGAAAATTCTGCTGGATGTTGTCAACCAAATACCTACATAGATTTTCCTCCAAGCGTACCAGCTTTGAGGTCTATCCCCCTTCTCAGAGGACGTTCTACAGAGAAATCTCCATTTGAGATTTCATAAACTTAACTAAGTCTCTAATCTACACACGTTAATGATACCTTCTGGAAAAAGGAACTGCCCCCATACCCAGAAGAGAAAGCCCCAGGTCTTACTTCCTACTCCTTCCTCTTCTGGCCTGCTTGCACTGCAAGGTACATCCCACAAAAGCTCACAGCCCCAAGCTTTACAGTTGCAGCCCTATAGTGCTTTGCTCAAACAGCAGCACCCTGACACACCACTACAACAAACACACAGCTTTACATCTTAAATCTATATACTACATCTCACAGAAAAGACAACTCAACCCAGCTGAGAGCCTGGCCCCTGTTCACAGCTGGATTGCACCCAGCAGCAGTGAAAGCAGATTTTATTCTCACACTGCCATTTTAGATGGTGTGTACAGATCTAACACTAATCTGGTCTAAGTGCCTTCATCTGCATTTGTAAAGGATCCTGCTTCACAATACTGTCAGGTGCCATAATCATTACTTTCACATAGCACCAGTTGTCATTCTGATGGCAACAAGGTCCTTGAAAGACAACAGTGCATCTCCAAAGTACCTGGGTTTTTTCTTGGGTGGGTGCAGTTTGTTGGCTTGGGACCAGCACCCTCAGGTGGGATTCATTACAGCAAGGGCCCTACTCATTCAGAGGTGCATGATGGAGGAATAGCTCATTCTTTTTTTTTGCAGATGATGCACACTATCTGCATTAATCTGGATGGGAAGAGAGAAGTCCCTCTGCTACCAATCCACACAAGCTAGGAACTGGAAGCTGTCAGACGAACAGTGACTTTCCATGCTTGTATGCTGCTGGACAGACCAAAGTTGACCTGGCTGTCTGGTAAAGCTCTGCTACAGTATTTACTCTGCAGAAACTGAGGTTTTTTGATCAATTACATTAGTTACTTCATGGCATGATTGGAGGCGTGTTAATCAAAATCCTTCTGTTATTCTCAAGGTGTTGTTAGCACTCTGGGATGGTTAAACCATACATTACATCCTATTTGTGATGGAAATTCTCCCAAACTTACTTTCTCACACTTAGATCTCAGATGGTTTTTTTTGCAATGCATGCCACAGCCTTGCATCAATTCTAGAAGGAGGAGCTCAACCTGTGTTTCAGGGACTGGTGGACTCTTTTCTCATGGGAAGTACAAGTGCAACTTATTTAGCATCACCACTATTTAGCACTACTTATTTAGTATCGCTGTGGCTGAGCAGAGGCACTCTGTGTGGAATATTCTGCTCCAAACTACTTGTTCAAAAAAGCTTACAAATGTCAGTGTGGCAACTTGCTCCAAACTTGATTCTGACTTTGTGTGGATTTCAGCTATCTTTGCACTATTTTGTTGTTCAGCTTCATTTTGGCTGTCCCTAGGATGACAGTGAATTGGTCTTCCTCCCAGGACAGCTGAGGAGGCAGCAAGAGGGGCTGCAGAGGGTATGCATGGATTGCTGGGGCAAGAAAAGTTTCAGGGCAAAGTGGAAAGAGGAATTAACTACAAATCAAAAGGGAATAAAGTATTTGCTCACTGTGTCAGCACAGGAAACAGTCAACGTGTTGACCACTTGGATTAATCCTTGGGTTTCTGGGTCCCACCTTAAACCAGAGCACAGTCCAGTGATAAGGCAAGTTCAGAAGTTACTTTTACAAAGGATTTGAGAAAACTGATGCCTAAGGAAGCAGGAGAAATCCCTGGCCCCAGGGAAACAAAGAAAGGTCCTGCTGATTTTCAAGGAAATACAGCCCTGTTCTCAGAAACCTCTCTGCTTGCCTCAAGACAGCTCTCCACCTTGATCTTGCGGCCATTTCAAGTGGGGCTTCCTAGGTCCTAAAGCAGCTGAAACAAAAGTATTTGCCTTAAACAGCAGCTACACAAAGAGGCTGTAAAGACACTGCTTCACCTTTATGACTCAGGTGAAGAAAATACAGTTGCACTGCTGCCATTGCAGAAGAGATGGGATGATAAATCAGGTTTTTGCTCTACTCTCATTCCATCTTACTATTTCATTAATAGATCAAGTCCGTTATTAGGAAATTGATTGCTGGCTGCTTTATACCTCCCCCCATACATTTGCAAGTGACAATGTCTCCCTTGTGTGTGTTTTCTTTAGATGGGGCAGACATGCTCCTGTTGGCCCTTTTTTTTTTTTCTTCTTTTCGCAGGTCTCATCTTCTCAGGCTTCGTTTCCCTTCCTTGAACTCCCTCCAAATTTGCCCTGTTTGACAGTCCCTCCATGTCTACTAACCTGAATTATCTTCCTCATCTTTTTCTCCTGAAACATATTATAACCATCACTTTGCTACCAGGCCCTTTTTCCACTTCCAACATTACGACCCTTTTATTTTTCTTACTGATGGTACCATGCAGCACTTGCAGAAATGTTTCCAGACTAGCCGAAAGTCTTAGCAGTTGAACTCTGTTACTCACTTTCAAGGCTAAAACAGAAGCAGCCAGCAGTTTGGCACCATTCATCCATGGGGCTCCACTAATCACAGCTGGCATCAGATCAATGGCACTGGATTGATTTCATTCACCCTCTGGGATTTGAATCTATAAGGCCTATTGGAGTTGCATTTTAAACCAGCAGCACTAGAAATTTGCTTCTTCATCTAATCAATGCCATACTCGCACGGTTTCCACTCCAGACTTATTCCCTAATGCAATTACTGGTTGCATGGAACCATTCAGAGCCAGTAGGTAAAAGCTCATCAGCTAGCAATGGTACATATTGCCTTTAAAAACAATAATAATTCAACAAAATGTTATTAGAATTACAGAGTATGCCAAGTTGGCAGGGACCCAGAGGAATCAGTGACTCCAACTCTTGGCTCCACGCAGCACCACCCAAGATCCAAACACAGCGCCTAAAAGCCCTGCTCCCTGAGCTCCAGCAACTCCATGCTTGCCCTGGGCAGCCTGTGCTGTGCCCACTGCTCTCTGGGGCAGACCTGTCCCTAACCACCACCTGCCCCTTCCCTGACACAACTCCATGCCGACCCCTCAGAACAGCAGAGAGCTGAGCTCATCACTGCTCCCTGCATCGTGAGGAGCTGCAGCTGCCATGAGGCCTCCCCTCAGCCTCCTCTTCTCCAGGCTGTTAAACTGAGTTTTGTTATACTGTTATCTTCCAATTTTAAAATACTACTGCAGATGAATGTAAATGTGAAATCTGGTTCAGTGACACTTTTACTTTCTCAGTAGAATATTTAACTCTCAAATCTGATGCTCAGGCCACCGTTCACATAGGGGCAGCAGTAGAAGCTCTCCCTTTTGACTGCAGCTCATGCTTACATCAGCTTAAATCGACCGTGAAGCTCTAGCACAGAGACAGGGATACCAGCACCTCATACAACAAGAGACAGATTCAGCCATGCAGGCAAAAGCACAAATGCTGTGCATCTCTGTGGCTGAAGAGCATCTCCCATGGGGCTGTGCCCATTACAGGTGTCCTGGTAACCCTGCTGACAGCATCTCTGACACCACTGGAGTGGGGCAGGAGGGCTCTGGGCACCGCAGGCTCTTCACCAGCTCTTCAAACAGCCACTTGGCACCGTCAAAAGGAGCACAGCCCTGTCTGGCTCTTAATGGCATCAATAACAAATGCTGTGTGCTGCCTCTGCTTCATTAGCCAGCAAGGTCTCTGTTTCACTGCAAAGCAAAGCTGACCTCTCCTTACCACACTCCCTCTGAACAACTGGAATTAATACACACAGCAATACCAAGCAAACTTCATTTCCTCTGATTTTTCTCTAAGAATAATAATAGGATCATTACAGTTGGAAAAGACCTTAAAGATTATCTAGTCCAACCATCCACCTGCCACAAATACTGTCCATTAAACCATGTCACTAAGTACTACATCTAGCCTTCCCTTAAACACGTTCAGGGATGGTGACTACATCATCAGAAGAGGAGCCTGTTCCAATGTCTCACCACTCTTTTGAAGAAGAAATTCTTCCTAATATCCAACCGGAACCTCCCCTGGTGTAACTTGAGGGCACTCCCTCTAGTCCTATTGCTATTCATTTGAGAGAAGAGGCCAATCCCTCACCCAATCCTCACTACAACCTCCTTTCATGCAGTTGTAGAGAGCAATAAGGCCTTCTCTGAGCCTTCTTTTCTCTAGACTAAACAATCCCAGTTCCCTCAGCCACTCCTCATAAGATTTGTGCTTCATACACCAGTTTCTTTGCCTCGACACGCTCCAGTGCCTCTATGTCATTCTTGTAGCGAGGGTCCAAAACTGAACATAGTATTCCGGGTGCAGCCACATCGGAGTTGACTACAGGAGGACAATCACCTCCCTTCCCCTGCTGGCCATCACGGCCACTTGGGCACATTGGTGGCTCATTCTCAGCCAAGCGTTGACCAGCACCCCCACGTCCATGCAGCTTTCCAGCCACTCTGTCCCAAGCACTGCATGGGGTTGTTGCAACCAAAGTGCAGGACCTGACACTTGGTCTTGCTGAACTTCATCCTGCTGGTCTCAGCCCCCTGATCCAACCCGCCCAAGTCCCTCTGTAAGACCTTTCTACACTCAGGAAGATCAGTACTTCCCCCAGCTTGGAGTCATCTGCAAACTTACTCAATTCTCTCATCAAAATCGTCAATAAAGAATTAAATAGGTCCAGCCACAGTACCAACCCCTGGGGAACACCATTAGTGTCTGGTCACCAGCTGGATTTCACTCCATTCACCACCTTCTCTGGGCCCAGCCATCCAGACAGGTTTTTTTGTTTGTTTGTTTTTAAATACAGCACAATTGAAGGCATGGTCACATTCTTAGATCACCACACATGTAAACATTTACACTTCC